TATATTTAGTTATAATTAATTAAATATAGCTCAGTCTTGAATTTACTTAAACAAACGCACCACGCACGAGAAGTTGAAAAGCTTCTGCGTGACGTCGGTGCCTTCTTGTTTAGAAGCTCGTTGCACTCTCGCTTAAGCGAGAGGCAACTGGTGGTACGACTGCTTAAGCAGTCGACCAACCTCCCAACCACCCTCGCACGCGAAGGTAAGACGGTCTAACCGCTTCCTCGCTTGTGCATAAGGTGTGTGCTCGTAGTACGAGGCAACTTCGTAGAAGTGCCCGTCTACACTTGGTAGCACTACTTATGTAATAGGTTGCCCGAGCTCATGATTCGTGAAGACAATCAATCGTGCATCAGGATGACGAAGAATCCCGTCTCCCACGGACGTGCCAAGCACATTGACATCAAGTACCACCATACTCGTGATGAGGCCAAGCTCGAATACTGCTAGAAGACTGTAATGTTGGTGGAGATCATGACGAAGGGGTTTCACGGTTTGCGTCACAAGGATCAAATGGCGGCGCTCGGCATTCGTGCGAGTTCGGATTGAGGGGAGTATTAAGAGTTACCGGTACAGCCAAACTTTAAGGCTTAGTATCTTTTACAGCATAGTTCGTACGGTAATCATTCTGACTTAATTAATCAAGTAGGTTGATTAGATGGCTGTCATGATATGTATGAGGTCACGCAAATGATACATGTAGTAGGAAGTAAGCTCCGATAAATCAATCACTTTCGAATCTTCTCTTCACTCCACCGCTATAGTTACATCAGAGACCATATGTGTCAACACCTCTAATCATTAAAACAAGCTGATCTTCCGCCATTACAAAAAGAACCATCTTGGACATAGACACCAACTAAAGCTTGACACCACCGTCTTTCTTATTGCCAATTCTTCTTGTGTGTTGGATCACAACAACATAACCTTTCCTGCTACGCATGGACAATAATTGCGACTCTTGCTTGTTCCAGGGATGCATATGCTAGCTGCAAAGGGTTATAATAAGATGGAAGTTATCGACGGCCTATGAAAAAAGGGGGTGCCGAACATTCTGACCAATCAGATTTTGATAAATTTTGGGGTGGTTGATGGTTACCAAAAAGCTGGTTGATACATAACGCCTCCCCAAAAATAATCAAAAAGCATATTGAATCAATTGACGAATCTCATGGCGGTCGATGACGCGGTAGCCGCGAGCTTTTTGGAGCTCAACACTGCGCTCAAGCGCGAAAATTATACACGTGCTGTAGAAATCTGCAACAAGAGTGAGTCTTGTTTTGCAAACTCGAGTGCTGCATGAAGGGGGGGGGGGGGGTGGGTGGGTGGTGAATATCTGTCTGACGAATGTGTTTATGTTATAGTTCGTTCCAAGTTTCCAGATGACGTAGATGCTGTAAAGGTCAAATGTGTTGCACTTATTTATTTAGAAAAGGTTTGCTGGTCTTTGTATTGATAACTGAATGGGGGGGGGGGAGAAGGGAGACTACACTGATGCTTTTTTTGCATCTGGTTCGTCTTTAGTTCGATAAGGCGCTGGAATTGGCTGTCAAGTACGATTTTTTAAGCACGGAAAAGGCCTATTGCCTTTACCGTCTAAAGCAAGACGATGACGCGCTGAAGCTGCTAGATGGAGAAGAATTGGACACTCTGAGTGCAGCCCAACTGCATCTAGCAGCGCAACTGGCACGTCACGTGACGCAGCATGAGGAGAAAGATACAATAAGATCTGACTTGATTGTTGGGTTGTGTAGCATTTTCGCAAGGAAAATTACGACCAGAGCATCCGCATTTATGAAATGTTGCTTGCTCGTGCTCAGGAGGTGACATTTTTGGGGTTATTGAAATTGCTATTGGAGATATACCATCTAAAATACTGTTTTCTCGACTATAGGGCGATGATCTCTTGGAGCTACAGACAAATCGACTGGCAGCGTATGCGAGTGCTGGCAGGAGTCACGAATTGATGGATCGCGAGATTTTGGTGAGAGACAAGACTAGAATATACTTTTTTTGGGAGGAAATATCGTCTAACTGGAATATGTTGCAACAGATCAATGCTGGTTTCGAATTGGCTTTTAACAAGTCGTTTGTGGCTATCCAGTCGGGCAATTGGGAGGCAGCCGAGCAACTTTTACTGACTGCCGAACGTAAGTCTGGTTCTTGGATTTGGTTTTGCTAGCCGGTACTTACCGTCTTTTAATGTGTTGGTTATATGGCAGGTATGTGTCGCGATGCCTTTGCTGCTGAAGGGGCTTCGGAAGCTGAAACTGCAGAGGAATTGGCTATCATTAAGACGCAGCTTGCATTTGTGAAACAAATGCGCGGTGATGTGGACAGTGCTCTTTCAGATTACCGTAACGTTCTGAAGCTCAAGTATGTTGCTGTCGTCTGTCTGACATCGCAGCTGTAAAAGTTATTGGTGGTTGTTCTGTTTGCTTACTGTTGTTTTGCTTACTGCTTACTGCAGGCTGCGCAACCGTGCTGTGGGAGTTGTGGCTTCGAATAACATTGTGACGATCCGCAAGGACCGCGACGTATTGGACTCGTTAAAGCGGTTGAAAAATATTGATGCAACGGCGTTGTCGGACAAATTGACCTCTGCGCAGCAGGAGGCTATCCTTGCGAACCGCACGCTAATACTGTGCCTCATGAACAAGGTGCGCACACAGAAAGTGCCAAGTTGAGTATCCTGTACTTACAACTGTGTTCTTGGTAGACGGAGGAATCCCGTGAGAGCTTAGAGGCCTTAAAAAAGCAATTTCCTGCATCGAAGTCAATTGCCGATATATCGTTGTTGCTCACCATCAAGGATCATTCGCCTGCAGCGGCCATTGAGCAGCTTCAGGTTGGATACATCGCGCCTATCGAAATTGATTATTGACGGCAGGACTGACTCAACCTTGTGTATATTCCACATTACCGTGTATGCATCTAGGGTGATGTGAGTGTAGGTGGTCGCCTTGGCCTTGCACATATGTATTTAAAGATAGGGAAGGTGCTGAAGGCAGCCGACTGCATTCGGTCCATTGAGCAGTTGGCGCACACGCCAGGTACTGTGGCAACCCTTGTTGCACTGTACGAGCAAGCCGGTGACTCGGCATCTGCGCAAGCCGTACTGGAAAGTGCCGTGGCTCACCACAAGGCAATCGACTACACGTCCGAACAGGCCATGGCGATTCGCGAAGGTGACTGCTGGTACAAGATTCAGAAGAAGCAGTTCCGTAATGCCGCTGACGCGTACTTGGAGCTTTTGGAAGGCGAGACTGCTGGTGCTATGGAGTGCGATCTTCGTCTTCGTTCTATGGCCTCGCTGGTCGTTGCATTGTAAGGCATCCTAGGACCTGATCTAGCTCTTTTTTCTTATGTTGTTGTCTAACTCGCTTTGTGCGTGTGCAGATCATTTTGTGATGCTGAAGCTGCGGAAACGCGGTGTGCTATGCTTCCTGCTGTCGAGGAAAGCGGTGTTGATCCAAGTGAATTGGAGAAGCAGGCTCCGCGCTCGACTCGTCTAGCCGCCAAATTTGTGGACACTGGTGACAAGAAGAGCGAGTACGTGTTGCTTTAAACATTTTCTGTTTTTTTCCTCTATCGGATGTGGAACTCATTAATTTTGCCTCAATGTAGACGGAAGCGTGCGGCAAAGAGCCCAGAAAGTATTGCTCGCAAGCGCGCAAAGCGAAGGGAGGCATATTTGGCCAACCTTCGCGCTCGTCCAGACTACAACGCGTCCATCGGACTGGTGAACCCAGACCCAGAACGCTGGATTCCGCGTAAGCAGCGCTCGCATGGCAAGCGTGGCCGTCGTGGACGCAACCGCTTTGTCGGCGCACAAGGAGCTGGCATGGGCACGGAGAAGGACGCTCTCAAGCTGGATGCAGCCGCACGTGCTGCACGTAAGGCCGAATCAGACAAGCCCGCTGTTGTCGTGGTGTCCAATGGCTCGGGCATTCGCAAGTCCAAGAAGAAAAAACGCAGATAGAGGGAACACTAGTCCTGAACATGTCTTCGCCCAAGTGCAGTTACCTGGAGAGTTCCACGAGCTACCCTTTGCCAAAAAACGAACCTGTTTCTTTCTGCAGCGTGTGGTCTGTGAATTGCTTCTTGTCGTCATTAGTCTTAGTGCTCTATACTGCTTTACTCCATCTATCCAGCGTCACCGTCTCTATCAAGTGTCTGCAGCTATAAAAACGACGTTGCTAGCACCAACGAGCCTGACACAACCACTGACTAGACAGTAGTAAAGCTGGGCGCCTTCTCACGCAAATAGAAGAGCTTTGCACGACGTACGCGCTTCTTGCCTTTATGGATGAACGCCTCCTGCAACACCTTGACGCTCTGCAACAACGGCGAGTGCAGAAAAATCTTCTGCTCGTAGCCATAGCCACCAATGTGCTATATCAAGACCACAACCAGTCAGTTACCAATTACAATTAACCTCAGCACTTGTCGTCACTACAAGCGACGTACGTTACGAATGACAAATGAGCTGCCCGTGCCACGGTTTCGTCGCGCCAACACAACGCCCTTGACACGTTGAACTCGACCACCAGTGCGACTCAGTAAATACTGCACCTCAACTGAGTCACCAGGCTTAAAATTATCAATATCCTTTCCATCTGAGGCTTTCATAACGGCCTCCACCTCCAATTGCTGCAGAAGTGACGCTGCACGTTTGGTCGGAATCTTGAGCTTCGTACGCTTCGGCTTCTCAATCTCGGGTGTCACGTTGTCAGTTGAGAAATAAACTTGCGCGTTCAAAAATGGGGCATGACGCGACGTAGCAGCGCTCGTGACTCGCACGAAGCTTTTAGTGACGGCGGCCAACATATTGAACGAGATACAAGCGAGTTTAATGGCCAGTCGTAGATTGTGTACTGTACACAAAGACTTTCGCGAAGACTACACAAAAAATGATCAAATTCTTGGTCTTTGGTACTTATTTTTGTCATGCCATACGTATAGTATACGCCGTCATGATACATTTTTATTTTATTTTTATATTTTTTCTCATTTTGTTTTTATTTTTTGGCATTATTTAGTTTATTATCCCCAAGTATTCTTTAATTTTAGGCAGCCCCTCAGCATATTTAATTTTAGGCAGTCTCTCAACACTAGACACTTGAGTCTAGATACTTTTAGTAAAAAGTGTCTTAGAGATCAGTCAAGACTGATTTTTAACTACAAAGGATAAGTAGAAAAAGATTTCAACATCGACTATAGAATTCACAGTGGATATACTTCAGTTTGCAGCGTATCTCATGTAATATTGTTTATCCAGGTGTATCGAAAAATCTCAATGCTAGGCATCAATCACGAGCTGTAAGCAGGTGAGAGGATAAAAGCGGAGCTCTACACTTCTCGATCCAGGTCGTCGCTATTGTCCGTGTCGCTACTGATAAGCGGCTGGTTCAGTTCATCTACTGCTGTACCTGTATCAATGGCTTTCCGTTGCTTGTTCCAAGATGCTGCCACGTCCGCCATGAAGCGGTACACAAACAGTCCTAGCATTATGAATACTAAGCCCGCGATATCCCTCGCATGCAATGGCTGGTGCTCCGGCATGAATGGAAACGTGAACGCGACATTGCCAAGAGGAACCATAATGGTCATGGCCTGTTCAACAAATAGTTGTAAGATGAAGATTTAGAATGAGTAAGTACTCCAACAGCCGATTTAATCAATCCACGTACGAGCCAGAGGATATTAGCGCTGCCAAACTTTAGAATCAGGATGATCAACAGATTATAAGCCACGTTAAACAGCATATATGCCGTCACGTAGATGGTCGCTTTTTCGCAGTCATCCTTGTGGGCACCGTCGGTAATAGTATTTTGTCCTAAGTAGCACATCAATCCATCGTATAAATTTTCTGGAAGTTCACTGGGGCTAACTGGGTGATCTCCGACCGTGGACGCAGGGAATGTCAAGGGGATTGCAAACACAAACTGGAATAGTGCTATCCAGCCATTCAAATAAATAGCGTCTAGCTCAGTCTCCCCAAGAGCCTTTTCCTTGTAAACGCTCGACAGACACATGGGGACGCAGCTAAAGATCATGACGATGGACCACAGCACCAATATGTGCGAGTTCGTACCAGTAGTGCTATTGGTATCCCCAAAACCCAGCACAATGAGTAGCCCCATCGAAACAATTATCGCACCCACATATTGGTAGCTTGAGTACTTTGCATTCAGCAGCAGTCGCGAGATAAGCATTGAAATGGGGATAGCAGCCTGACTTAGTAAAATAATAAGTGAGCCACCCAAGTAAGTAGCCGCAAACACTTGCAAGATGCCGGCGATAGAGTCAAGCCCTCCCATGATGGCAAACTTTTGCTTGGGAATACTGCGCTGTTGTCGAGTGATTGCAGTGCCATACTTGATCATTGGCAGGATATACGCAAAACTGATGGGGATCTGCAAGTGTCCAGTAAAGATAACATTAGTGAAAGGGTACAAGTAATTCGACCGAATTGAAGAGCCGACAGCAACGTACGTAGACGAACGTTGTCAGCAGGTTAAGGAACATTGGGTAGTTATGCATCGGAATGGTCTGTAGCCTATTACATATCACAAGTCAGACTCAAAGATGCAGCATTATTTACATAAAAGATATATACTAACTTTTGAAAAACTATTCATTCCAAGTGATGACAAAAAAGAAAACAATGCGTGAGTATTTCTTTGTGTCTATTCACAATCAAGAAGATCGCTTACTTTTATTGCCAAGACCTACAAAAACCATGGCGATGAAACTCACGAGGAGCTTCATATCACGCTCCGTGTTCATTATTTTCGTCGTCGATTGATGCCTTCTTCAAAATGGAAGAATCTTCTACAGACGTTTGAGTTTGTTTTTCCTTAAGTAAGCCTTAAGTTTCGCATACTCGTCAGAATAAAAAATAAATGAGTATTGCTGGTGTTGGGGTAGTGTTTGTGGTCTCGGTAGTAGTCACGGGTTGGACAGCTCTGGCCTGGGTGCTGACCCCTTGCTTTTTGTTGGCAACACTGCCTCTGCCGGCGTTACTACAGACCAAACGCTTTTACCGCTGCGTCACTCGCTTTATGTGCGCTCCACATTTTCATTCCAAATTTTCATTCCAAATTTTTTTTACTAACTAATCGAGTTGTTTTTTATTGCTGTATTTATTATCAAGCAGTCAATGGGCATGGATGGGTCAAGTGGTTTTATTGCTTGGTATGTGAATACTGAGCCGCTCTTTTAGTGGTAAAGTTGCCACTGCCGGACGCTCACCATGAATTCTGTTATACAGAGAAAATGTTTCGGATTCAAGTGCGAGTCTACGGAGATGCAGAGACGAAAGCTCATGAGACTGACATGCCACATGATCGAGCCTTGTGGATATCAAACCATCGCACTCGTATCGACTGGATGCTCCTGTGGACCGTCGCATGGCGGACAGGCACATTGCACCAATTGCGAATTGTCTTGAAAGCCCCGCTGCGCAAAATCCCCATCTTTGGCTGGGCCATACAACACTTTATCTTCATTTTTCTTGTACGAATAGCTGTCCGTTTTTGTTTTTTGCTTTCGATGACAATGTTCTAATGGTTCTTCTGCCTGGTATAGCAACGCCGGTGGGCAGATGATCAGGTGAACCTGCGTATGTTGCTGCCGTTCCTTACATCGGCAGAACCGGAGGCTTCCTACCTTCTCTTTCCGGAGGGCACAGATCTCAGCGAGAGGAACCTAGAAAAGAGCCGTTCTTTTGCTAACAAGAACGGCCTCCCACCTCGACAATTTTCGTTGTACCCGCGCACGACGGGTTGGACCTTCATGTTCCCATTGCTGCGCTCACACCTCACGGCTGTATACGATATCACCATGTTCTACGTGGATTATGCTGCTAACGAACGTCCATCAGAGAAATCGCTGCTTACTGGGCGTCTTCCACGAATGGTTCATTTCTATATAGAGCGAGTGGACATCACGACCATGCGCGAGAAAAGTGAGAAGGAGCTTGCGGTCTGGATGAAAGAACGCTTCGAACGTAAAGAGTCTCTCCTCAAGGCATTCTACGAGTCGAATGGGAAGCTTCCAAATGGAGCAGTACCTCTTTTTCAGGAAAATCAAGGACCCGTGTTCGCCGTGTTAGTCATGTTTTGGCTCATGTTGATTGGTACCGCCATCTTTTGCGGACTATTTGGCAATTTGAGCTCATTTATAGCAGCCGTGACGATAATGGCTGGTTACAGCATCATCACTGCTTACGGCTCGGGCGTTGATGGGTATCTGATAGCGAATTTGTAAATTGACTCGCTTTCAAAAAGATATAAGTCTACTTGATAATGTCCATTGCTAAGTGACGTGGAGGCAGACGTCCACATGCTTGATAGCGTGCGGTGAACCCCGCGTTGCTTATCATCCTGGTTGCATCCTGATAGTCATCCTGTTTTTGTGTGGCTTCCACTTGCACTTCAGCATGCTCGGTTTCAGAGTGCCTTCCCAACGTAGCGCCATGTAACACCGCCGAGATCAATGTCACGGTGCGCTGGTTCGTGGACTTAACCACACCAGTTAGGCTTTCGATCTCACTATAACTCCAACACGGAACGTCGTCGTCAAGGTGCTTCCCCAGTCGTATCGTAACTTTTCCAATGCTGCTGAATCGATACAGTAAGAAAACTCCGCGGATAGTTGCGTGAAGGCCCCATTCGGACGGGTACATGTTGTAATCTATGGCAAACATCCGATCAACGACCAGCACGGTTTCATCTCCATCCTAGCTCGTAGTCCAAAAGACTCCAGCTTCGACAGCTTTGCCACTGCATAATATAATTCATCACATCCATTTACGTGCTGCAGATTAATACGACTCCTGTTGGAAGTTGATGTTGAAGATTATGAGTTCGATTAGCGCCAGCCGTCAATCCGGTCAGAGATAGTCAGTGCAAGATGGTAGCAGACAAGTTGGCCAGCAGCCATCTGTCGTTGATGTAACGGGGTGAGCCCGTTACATAATATTGACACTTATATGAAGTGTCAATAAAAATATTATTATAATTAATAATATTTTGTCAATATTACCTTTTCTAATAATATTGTTCCAGGATTCCTTGAAGTTGGAGATGCCCTCTCATTGGTTGATATGGGCCATCATATTAACCAACGCGCTGACCAATGACCGATGGACGCGCGCAATGAGTGGAGGGCAAGTCGTCAACATACATAGTTGTAGTTTATATAGTTAACATAGGTTCTAACAGATTAGTTTTATTAAGATAGTTAACTATATTTTATACAGTTTTCTTTTCCCCTACTTCTAAGCGTTTGTTTAGAAGTAAAGCTTCCTCTGCCTCTTGTGTAAGAGAGGTAATTGAGGCACCTTCTTTCACTGTAATCAGTGAAAGTAGACTATACTGTAATCAGTATAGTCGGAGGGTGCCCCAATACACCTGGTAGCACTTCGTGGTCCGTTCAGCGACCACCACACCATCCGCTATGGAATCAGCGGGTGATGAACGTCATCACGCAACGCGTGATGATTTCCGCCATTTGAGTGACCTCGAATGGAATGCGGTTCAGCGTATGGCTGAAACCATCGGCAACCCTGCCGTTGGTGCCATGTTGCTCTCTCTTAGCGGAGACGACCAACATGCAACCATCGCCAAGTTCATACAACATGAACTTGACGAAGTTGTAAAGAAACTCACCTTGCTAGAGGAGCAAGGTTCTCAACAGGTTGAACTGTTGAGAGAACAAGGCGCTCAACAAGCTGACTTGTTGATGCAGCAAGGTGCTCAACATTTGAACTGTTGAGACAACAGCAGGCTGGTGCTGTTGCTGCCGGGTCGGCGTATGCACGTCGACCCGAGTCCTTGAAGATTGATGTCCAAGGCAGTCGAAAGCGACTCCTTGTTGAGATGGTTTGTCGAGCTCGACGATGCCATTGAGGCTCGTCGCATCGATGACGATGCGATGAAGGTCAAGTTCGCCATGTCGAACTTGGGAGGACGTGCCAAAGCTTGGGCCTTAGGGCTCAAACTTCACGACCCATACGTTTTCCCAACGTATGACGTCTTCAAGGCGCGGCTCAAACACACGTTTGAATCGCCTCGCGCCGAATTTAGGGCTCGGGCTGAGCTCCTGGATTTGAAACAGGGTAAGCGTGATATACACGCTTACGCCCAACACGTGCGATACCTCGTTAGCTGTATCGTACTTAACCCAATCGATGAACACACGCAGGTTACTGTGTTCATCAAGGGTCTGACAGATGGTCCTGTCAAGACCCACCTGTTCCGCTTGGAACTAGAATCGCTGGATCAAGCGATCTCTGCAGCGGAACAGGAGGACTTTAGCCTACAACAGGCTCACGTCCACTCGGGATCCTATCGTCCACCGAGACGACAGGAGGGCGGAGGTCCAGAACCAATGGACCTATCCTATGTAGAGAGCGAGCGACCTCGCTCTACAGGGTACAAGCGATTGCAAAAGTGCAATCGCTGTCAGAAGTTGGGCCACTACGCTTATGAGTGTAGTGCCCCACGCCCAGTGTCTCGTAACACTGGGAGTGACGATCGACCGTCTGCCAAGAAGGGCCAGAGACGTGGGTCCCACGCTGCTGCGAAATCGCAACAACGTGGTGAACCATCAAAATACGGTCGGGGTCAGTAGGGGCGGAGCGCTCTACTGATCCAGCAACGTCAAGAGAGTTCGCGGGACTCTTGACGAAGGTTGCTCCCAACACACAGTCACTGTGTGTTGCCGCTCCCAGTGATGCGGTATCCCTCATCACCTTGAAGATCGAAGTGACAGAGAACATGTCACTTCGCGCCCTAGTTAATTGTGGGGCTTCGAACAACTTTGTTCGACGCCAATCGCTGGATGATCATCGTAGTCTCAAATAGGTTGAGCGCGAGACCCCTCCAACGAGGATGACGGTGCGCCTTGCGGCTGGCGCATCCGTAACAGTAAAGAAACGTGTAGTGGGAATTCACTACACGCTTGAAGGCAAAAAGTACGATGATGATTTCATCGTACTTGATCTGGATGACAAGTTTTTGATGTCAACCTAGGATTGCCATGGCTCAGAGGTACGAGCCATGGGTCATCTGGCAGCATCGAACCGTGAAGATGCCTGCCGCTTGTTCATCAGATGACAATCTGATGAACGTCTTGGAGCGTTCACAAGCGTGTGAATGTACTACGAGTGAGTGTGATGGCCTCACTTGTGGTTCGGTCGTTAGTACGACTGCACAAGAACTCAGCGTGACAGACAGTCACGCTGTGGAACAAGCTGCCGGCGACTGTGCACAAGCACAGGCAGCGCCGAAGGTCCACCACTCGAATAAGTCGAGTGGAAAGGGACATGAATGCTCGCCTAGAGGGCAGCATTCACCGAAGAGTAAACCGGTTGCCTAGAAGCGGCAACACGGTAATCCTAGATCAACTGGAGAGTTGATCGTAGAGGATCTCGCTGTGGTTGCGCCACCACAGCTAGAGGAAGTCGATGGAACAAGTTTCATCGAGCCTGCGGGAATAAGTCCCCAGGAAATAATCACTGCGGGAATAAGTCCCCAGTGCCGTGAGGGAATAAGTCCCCAGGAAGTAACCGAGAGATAACTCAGTTGCCTACGCTAGAGCCTAAAAGGTTCTTGCGTGATCTGCGTAGTGGCAAAGTCAAGCAGATCTGTGTGCTCGTCGCAGAAGACGAGCACATGACTGACATTCGGTCAGCAACAGTTTTTGCCGAGAACGAACGGGTTCTCAGCAGCTCATCAATGGACGAAAGTGCCCTTGATGAGAAGACTCGGATTAAACGATATACATCGCAATCCTGGGAGTCGCTGAAGTCAAATCCTTTGTACAAGGATTTGGTCGAATTCAAGGATGTATTCCCTGAATCCGTTCCGTGCGAGTTGCCTAAGGATAAAGGTACTCGACACGAGATCGACCTTGTTCCTGGCACAAAATATTGTGTCACAAAGCAGTGGTCACTGCCTCGGGAACAGGTCGAGACGATCGACAAGTTCTTTGCCGATCGCCTAGCAGCGGGCCATGTGAGGGAGTCAACTTCACCTCACAGCTCTCCGACCTTCTGTGTGCGCAAGGCCACAGGAGGGTGGCGGATAGTGCACGCGTTCAATAAGTTGAACGCTGCAACGATACCGGCGCAAACGCCGATACCGAGAAAGGACGTAATCATAGATGGTATGTCTAAGAGTACCATCTTTTCGTCCATGGATCTGATGGATGGTTTCTATCAGATCCTAATGTGTGAACGGGAAATCCCTTACACGGCATTGAGCACCCCTAATGTATGCTCTGGGAATGGTTGGTGATGCCGCAAGGGCTCAGTAATGCACCAGCCACATTCAATAGATGTGTTTCACATCTATTGAGACCGGTGCGCGAATTCGCACCGAGTTACTTCGATGATGTGTTCGTCCATAGTCGAGCTATGGACGGGAAAACAGACTTGGAAGTCCATAGACTCCACGTCCATAAGGCTCTTACATCAATGCGCGAGCATAAGTTGTACGCCAACCTCAAGAAGTGTATATTCGAAGCTAGTGAAATACCACTTCTTGGGTGCATCGTCGGGAAGAACGGCGTACGCCCTGATCCAGAGAAGATCAAGGCGATCACCGACTGGCCAGTGCCAGTCGATGTCAAGGGACTAAGGAAGTTTCTTGGGCTAGCGGCGTACTTGCACAAGTACTCGCGCAATTATGCCGAAATGACAGTACATCTTTCTTGTTTACTCAAGAAAAATGTAAAGTGAAACTGGAACGCTGATTGTCAGCGTTCCTTTGAACGTATTAAGCAAAGCTTGATGCAATCGCCAGTGTTGGCGATTGCCGATCAAGACAGACCATTTCATGTGGTCTGTGACGCCAGTGATTTTGCAATCGGCTGCGCACTGATGCAATATGATACAGACGGCGCAGAGCGTGTCGTCTGTTATCAATCGCGTCAGCTGCAACCAACTGAGCGCAACTACCCGGTGCATGACAAGAAACTCCTTTCCATGAAATATGCACTGGCAAAGTTTCGCGTCTATCTTTTAGGAGATAGACCATTCATTGTGTATACAGACCATGCGTCATTACGCACGGATATAAACAGTCCACACCTCTCGCAACGAATGGCGAGATGGTTGTCGTTCTTCGCGGAGTACAACTTCTCCGTGGAGTATAAGCCGGGACGACTTAACGTCGTCGCCGATGCTCTTCCACGTCGGCCTGACCTAAGCCGACTGTCAATCCGACAGTGATGTAAACACCACTGTCGCCACGCTGAGTACC